ATACTAAGCTTAAGCTTTCCACAAAATCCAGCAATAGCACTCCTTGGTATTTACCCAAGGGAGTAGAATACAAAAACCTGCACAAAGATCTTATAGCAGCTTTATTCATAATTGCCCAAACTTGAAAGTAATTAAGGTGTCATTTAGTAGGTGAATGGATAAATAATACCTGTATAATAATATTAGTCAGTGCCCAAAACTAATGAATTATCAAACCACAGAAAGACAGAGGAATCTTAAAAGCATGTTGCTAAGCAAAAGAACCCAAACTGAAAATGCTATATGATATTTTGGAAAAGGCAAAACTATGGAGACAGTAAAAAGATTAGTAATTGCTAGAGGTTGGGGTAGGGGAGGGATGAATAGGCAAAACATAGAGGATTTTGAGGGTGGTGAAAATAGTCATTATTATACATAATGATGGATATATGTCATTATACATTTTTCCGAACCACAGAATGGACAACACTGTGTACTTTGGATGATTATGATGTGTCAATGTAGGTCAACCAGTTGATACAAACACACCATTCTGGTGAGGGATATTGATAATGGAGAAGGCTATGCATGTGTGGGCCTAAGATATATAAGAAAGCTCTATATCTTCTTCTCAATTTTTCTATGAGCCTAAAACTTATAAAAAAAAATAAAGTGTAAAAAATGTTAAAGAAAGTGTCCTGGAAAAGTTCCCAGTAATGTCTAGATCTACTTGTGGAAACAAAATAATGAGGTACTTTGGAGCAGACCTTTTTTGAGAAAAATCTCTGAACTGTCCTTTAATTATGAGGCATTAGGCAGCCTGGAGTTAACATCTGTTGCTTTGTCTTCCCTGCCACTTTACTTTGGAGGAATTATATCACAAATTCTAAAAACTGTCCTTTGTATCTATGTGGATTTAATGGGATCTTTCATATTTTTCAATGACCCTGTTCATTATAATTGAGCACTTGACCCCAAATGGGCAGAATATGATACCCTACATGCCTGGAATTTAGGACATAGGAAGAGTCTTGAACTCAAGAAATAACAAGGTCAGTTATTTTTAAATAAAAAAAAATTCAATTAATACAGGTTGATTATATTTCATGGAATTCTTAGTACATCAGAATGTTATGTTATCTCTGAGTAAAGTGCTATCATTGTTTTGCTATACTACTTGTCAAAATTTGCCAATAGTATACAGGGTGGACCAAAAGTAGGTTTACAGTTGTTCATGTGGAAAATAATATATTAATAAATAATAATATAAGAATCCCTATGTTTTGTATACTCACAACTGTAAACCTATATTTGCCACACCTATATATAAATGGAAGCACTTATTCGCAGAGTTCAGAACAACTGGGATAAGTAAGAATGCCACCAAATCATTTCATTTCAATATGAATTATATCTATAATAGTTAAGTCTAAATTTGGGGTGATGAGTGTGTTAACTAACTTTATTGTGCTAGTCATGTCACAATAAATATATCAATCAAATCATCACATTGTACACCTTTAACTTACACAATGTTATATGTCAATTATACCCCAAGAAAGTTGGAAAGATAAAGTCTAAATTTGATTTTTATATCATTAAGGACTCTTAATTTTAAGTGATAGAAAAAAAAATAAAGATTTAAAAAAATAGAATTCTTTGATGCATATCATTGAAAATATGGGGTTATATTTATCTTTCTGTATTTCTTGAACCAGAATGAACTCAGTGTTTCACTTCTCTGTCTTCCCTGTGCCAATTCCATTCTCCGTCATTCTCAACCTTTATACTGCAATGTGGCTACATTTTCATAATTCCAAGATCAGTGGAAAAGAGGAAGTTCTTACCCCACCACCCACCCTCCTGCATTAAACATAAAGATCCAGAGTGTTATTCTAAATATAAATCTGTCACAAACCCATCACTGAACAGACCACTGGCCCCACAGGAAGATCTAATATATGTCAGGTTAGCGTAGGTTATGGCAGGATAAGCAAAAATCTAATATCCCAATGGCTTATAACAACAGTGCTTATGTCTCTCACAGGCTATGTGGCTATCAGAGGCAGGGTGCTTCTTGGTCATCCTCCCCGCTGGACTCACACTAAAGGGCAACCACTGTCTGCTGCTGTCATAGTGGCAGAAGAAAGAGTTTGGCTGGACCCACATTAGCAATCATATGCTTCACCTCTCAGTGACATATACTTCCTTTATTCACCATTCATTAACCAGACAGAACAGTCACTAGCCTTGGAGACAAGGAAGTACAACCCTACCATGTACTCAGAATGGGAAAATTGTGGTTTTGTGTGTGTGTGTGTGGGGGGGGGTTGTTTATTTTTTTGTTTTTGTTTTTTTTGTGTGTGTGTGTGTTTTTTTCCCCCCAAACAGCATTAATAAATATCTAATTCACTATTTGGCTCAGGTTATATACCCACCTAGACCCAGGAGCATAGTCAACCCCACTACAATTGAGACCTTATATGTCCTCACAGAAAATTTAGTCTATTGGTAGAAAAAGGAAAGAGTTGCCATTAGAAAACCAAACCAAACCAAAAAACCCAATATAACATTTAATTAAGTCAGTTTCTAGTAAATGACCAAAGTTTTGGATTCAGTATGAGTGTATTTTTCTATGCTAGTAAATTATTAATATGAAAAAAAATAAAAGAGTTATAAATCAAAAACCAAAAACTAAATGTCATTTTTTCCCCCATCCTCCTGATTTTAATCTGGTTGACTCCTGCAGGATCAACACAGTCTAAAGTTTTCACAGTAGACATTTTAAATCTAGTTCAGTTGCTAATATATAGGTCATAAATAGTTCAATCTGTGACACTAATATAGTTTTAAATCCATAACTAATTCTATCTATACTAATAAAAGGATAATATGCTAACTAGACTGGATGTCCTTCTGGACAAAGCTATGGTGGTGGGGCCAAGGCAGAGGCAGTTAGGGGTAATCAGGATGGCAGGGGAGAGCAGTTAGGGGAATCAGGCTGGCAGGCAGGGGAGTGGTTAGGAGCCAGCAGTCCTGGATTGTGAGAAAAATGTCTGACTGCCACAGAGATCGAGCATAAACTGGCAGTTGCACATCCCCTGAAGAGTCCCGGATTAGAGAGGGTACAGGCTGGGCTGAGGGACATCCCCTCCTGTGCATGAATTTCATGCACTGGGTCTCTAGTTAAAAAATAAAAATGTGTGAGTCACACTTGGGTTTTCATTTTTAGTACCTACCTAAAATTGTTCTTTCCCTTAAAGTTGCAGTATCATTACATTGGGGGTTTTATTTTTCCTGCAAGATGTTCAGTACCAAGGTTTTTTTTCCTTTGGTTGTGAAGAACAGGTATCCATTTAAGTGAATTCAAAAAAAGAGGAATCTAATGTAAGGCTACAATAGGTAATCTCTGTTTTCTCTATCTCTAGGACTATGCTGATTTTTTTTAATATACATTTTTCTTCTTTTCTTCCTTAGCATCTGTCCTTCCATTTTCTTTTATAATGATCTCTCTGTTCAATCATTTTAATAGCCCAGGGCATGACAATCAAAGGACAATGACAAGTTACAATCTCAGGGCCTCTTAGTTAAATTCCCAAGAAAAAGAATCAAATTCACTGGATGCTAAAAACTGGTACACTATTAGTCAAATAAGTTCTGATTAGGGAGAAGGAATCACATGGTACATATCACTGCTTCTTTCAGGGCTTTGGGTGGGGCCAGGTAAGCAAGAAGAATTATACAGAAAGATAATTGGCTATGACTACTGTAGGAATTAGGATGCAAATTTAATATCACTTATGGTTACTGCAATTATAAGTACTTTAAATATTAATTTATTGAATCCTATAATGAAGATACTATGACTGGTCTCATATTATAGACTAGAGGCTTGGTGCACAAAAATTTGTGCGTGGGGGTGCATGTCCCTCAGCCCAGCCTGCACCCTCTCCAATCTGGGACCCCTTAAAGGGATGTATGACTGCCTGTTCAGGCCTGATCCTACCACAATCCAGGAATGCTGGTTCCCAACTGCTCGCCTGCCTGCCTTCCTGATTTCCCCTACAGCTTCTGCCTGCCAACCTGATCATCCCCTAACTACTCCCCTACTAGCCTGATTGATGCCTAACTGCTCCCCTGCCAGCCTGTTTGCCGCTAACTGCTCTCCCCTGCAGGCCTGGTCAACCCTAACTGCCCTTCCTTGCAGGCCTGGTTGCCCCCAACTTCTTTCTTCTGTCAGTCTGGTCACCTCTAACTGCCCTCCCCTGCAGGCTTAATCACCCCCAACTGTCCTCCCTTGCAGGCCTGGTCCCTCCCAACTCCCCTCTCCTGCTGGCTATCTTTTGGTAGCTATCTTGTGTCCACATAGGGAAAGCCATCTTTGATCACATGGGGGCAGCCATCTTGTGTGTTGGACTGATGGTCAATTTGCATATCACTCTTTTATTAGATAGGGTAAGAAAACTAAGATAGAGAGATTTAAAAAAAAAAACAACAACTTGCCAATGGTCATGCAGTTACTGAAAGTAGACAGACTTGTTCGGAGTCCATGGTCTTACCCTTCATGCTATACTACTACTCTATCATCCTAACACATCCACGTTTACATCAGAGAGTTTATTAATGTTTTGGGGGCTGTTCTCTTAACCCTTTTGCCAGTAGTAAAATGCTTCTCATTCTCCAAAACTCATTTCGAATATCAGAAATGTCAGTATTTTCACTTTGTGAGCTTCCCTAAGCACCTTCCTTCTGCTGCTAAACCACCATGCACTGATTACCTTAATTACAACACGGATTACCTTGTCCTGTAAGGAGATAATATTATAATACTATGATGTTCTGTAGAGCAAGGGTGATATGTTTCTTACCTTTATATCCCTGGTGCACAGCATAATTAATGGCACATAATATGTATATACTTTATGAATTATTAAATTATTCACTTAATGAAAAACATAAATGCATTACCTAATTTATGCTGCACAGATTTTACCAATTTCTCTTCTGCTATCATTACATAGGACAAAAAGTGCTTCTATAGGAAAACCCGGGAACAATGCCTGTGAATCTTTGAGATTACTGGGATTCAGAAGCCGAGACAGTGGTTGGTTTGGGCTTGATGGTGTTGCAGTGAGAACCTTGCAGAGTGGCTTGATATCATTTGAATTGTGTGAACACTTAGAGAGGTAATACAATAGTAAACAATAAAAGCTGATGGTATTCTATCCCAATGTTTTATTATTGGTTTTACAGAAATGGGATCATAGGATTAAGTTGTTATCTTTCAGATAGGTATATGAATAGTATTTTCGGGTGTGCTTAAAATGCAAACCAGAACTGACATGGGTATGCTATCTGTAATTTCATTTATGATAGTTTAATAACTGCTTTTGGAAACCACTCATAACTTAGATTTATTTTTACAGGTCGCTTCTAACTCCAAAATAGTTTTAAGATAGCACCATCATTTCTGAAATTCCATGAGGATAGTAATTAACTGTTCATAGTATGCTCATCTCATAACTATGTATATATACAAACTAAATTTGTTATTTCAGTGTCCTCATTTTGCTTTCTCATTTACATGCTTTCTCAACAGCTCATTATAAGAAGAGTTTTAGACCACTTTAAGATTGGTGAGAAGTAGACATTCATAAAGAGAGGGCAGTCATATGTCCAAAGATAGTCTTTATTTCATAATGGAACATCTTGCATCTATAATTGTCTTGGGTCAGGTTCCCTAAAAAGAAAAAAAAAGTCTAAGATGTAAATGCAAATGACTTATCGAAAAAGGGGCCTCAGGTGAATTCTGAAAAAGAATGAAAGAAGCAACAAGGCTTTGCAGTGTGAATACCAAGGTGTCTGGCTTTACACTCCTGCATCAGTCAGTCCTGTCTCTGGGAGTGGGGCTGCCTTAGATTGAGGGTTCCTGCTGGGCAGTTCTCTGGAGAAGCATTGGATAGGGATGATCCAGTCAAAGGAAGGGGTCTGTATAAATTTCTTAGACTCCCAGAATAAAGTAGCAAAAACTGAAATAAACAACAGAAATGTATTGCCTTAGTTCTGGATACTAGAAGTCCAAAGTCTAGGTATTAGCAAGGGTCATTCCTTTTGAGGACTGTGAAAAAAGAACCCATTCCAAGGTTCTCTTTTTGACATGTAGATTTCTATTGTTATATCCACCAGGCATTTATTCTGTATGCATATCTTTGTGTCCAAAGTTCCTCTTTTTATGATACCAGTCATATCAGATTGGGGCCCACCTTAATGACCTCACATTAACTTCACCTCTGTAAATACCCTATCTCCAAATAAGGCTGCATTCTGAGGTACTGGGTTTTAGGACTTCAACATATGGACTTGGGTGGAGGGGACACAATTAAAACCATAATAATTCAATCCATCATAATAATCCATATAACACATGACAGAGAAGACTATTTCAACCCCTAGTTAATGATATACATATTTGGAATCTTATTGCTAGTAAGTGGATTTTGTTAATCATTCTTTTCTATATTTTTAAACAATACTTGTTAGTAATGCTAATTAAAATATAATTTAAAATATGCTGCCACATTTAGAGCTGAGCTGAGACTACAAAATTTCTTTAAGAACATTTGTTTTAGAATTTGATTTGACTTGAGCTGGTTTCCTGACTGCTCAAAGTTTCATTAAAATCATTGATGAATCTAACCAGTTGGTCATCAGAAGGCTTGATTTTGCCCTAGCTGGGTTAGCTCTGTGGATAGAGCCGAGGACTGAAGGGTCCCAGGTTCAATTCTGGTCAAGGGCACATGCCTGGGTTGCAGGTTAATCCCCAATAAGGAGTATGCAGGAGGCAGCTGATCAATTATTCTCTCTCATCATTGACGTTCCTATCTCTCTCTCCCTTTTCCTTCCTCTCTGAAATCAATAAATATATATATGTTTTAAATTAAAAACAAGAATGCTTGATTTTAAAGGAAATTTAGATGACAATGGCTCCTTTCCTGGGTGTTATTAGTGATCAGCTATATTTTTGAGACTGTAGGTTTCCCTCCGGTCATGCCTGTTCTCTCCCATGCAGGTTTATTGTGGTCCACCTGTCTTCCCTTGCGGACAATAGCCATTTGGTTTCTTTTGTGAAATCTTTAGAGGAAGCCATGCTCAGCACCAGTGCCTGCATTGTACTGTATCACCAGAAAGACAGTCCACACCGAGTGGTTATTTCCGTGGTGCCTTCCAAAGATTTAAACCAGGAGCTTAGGACCTTGCGTTTGGAAGCTTGCAGTGGTCCTCCAGAGCCTTCTCGCCATTTCCAGGTGAAAGAAGGAGACCAGCTACTTTTAAGGTTTACTGGAAACATATTTGCCTCAAGTAAGTATAAAGACATCTTTTTGTATATTCTATGGGCTTCAGCCACAAACTTCAGAAGGAATTTGCTCCACTTGTGTTCTTAGGAAAACTCCTAAGGGCTGACGGGGTTCTGAAGAGCAGGGAGAAAAACTCATTTACTTCTTTCTTTCCGGTGTCTTCCTTTGCTTTTTAGGGGAGGCATTTCCTTATTGGGCAGACTTTAAGGGGCATTCTTAGAAATCATCTTCTCTATGATTATTCTCTGAGTCCAAGCTAGAATCATCTCTTTCCTACACCAAAGCAGTTGTCTCCTCAATACTCCTCTTTCTCCTCTATGAATCACAGGAAATCCATTTCCATATTGTAACAACAGTGATCTCTTATAAATAATACTTTATTACTCTCCTGATTAAAACCTTATGTTTACCTCCTGTTCTACTTAAAATAATAGCAAACTCTTGTTGTCTTACACAATCTAACCTGGGGTTAGCAGACTCCTAAGAGATGTGTAGATAGAACTATATTCCAGTAAAATTGTCTTGTTTATAATTCCACTTATTTGATTTTACATAAAATAAAATAAAAGACTACTCTGAGAAGGTTTCACCAAAGTCCAAAAGGGTCCATGGCAAAAAAAAGTGGGCTGGAACCTCTGATTTGGTGACACACTCCTGCTTCCCACTGATCCTCATATTTATCTAGTGCTTTTTCCACTATAAATATTACCACAAATTGGAATTATTTTATTTATTTAATTGCTTACTTATGTTTCATTCATATGCTTATGCTGTGTCCTAGTTTCATCAAAGGCTTTCAATAAATGTGATGATGCTGAGAAAAAACAAACAGGGTATGTGAATCTGAGTGGGGTGGGGGGCAGAAGAGGTGCAGAAGTGAAGGAATCAATGAGAAAGAATAGAGAAAAGGAAATGAAGAGAATGAGAAAAGGAAGAAAAAGGAGAACAAAGAGAAATCAGCTGAGTAAGAAAAGAGAAAATTATTCCAGGAGAGCTGCCATCACAGAATTTTTTTTTTTTTTATTAATTCAGTCCCCTCCCTTCTCTAACTCCTTTCTTTGAGGTGGAATAGTATCTAACACGTATGCATATAAAGATGAGTTGTGAGATTTAGCTGGTTTGGCTCAATGGATAGAATGTGAGCCTGTGGACGGAATGGTCCCAAGTTCGATTCCGGTCCAGCACACATGGCCATGTTGTGGTCTCAATCCCCAGTAGGAGGCATGAAGGAGACAACTAATCAATTATTCTCATCACTGATGTTTCTATCTCTCTCCCTTTCTCTCTGAACTCAATAAAAATATTTTTTAAAAATGAGGTGTGAGAGAGAACTCAGGATAGGCTTCTGGGCCGGCAGTATTATAATAGACATGACTTGGCATAATATTCTCTGTTGAGTTATAAATTAATATAGATCCCATTGATTTTTAATGCTGCCCATTTTTCTCTCTCATTCTGGAAATTACTGCAAGCCCCATGGGCTCTTTGTTGTATCAAAAATGATGCAGCTTGAAACTGAGGCTGTTTTTTTCTGGTGCCTCTGATGTAAATGAGACCCAAAATGGCCCAATTTGAAGTATCTCTTCCACTGTTACATGAAGAGTCTCAGCTATCTGAGTCAGCTGCCAGGACTTAGTGAGTGTCAAGGATGTCAGAAGAGGGAAAAGGGAGGGAGAAGAGGGGGAAGAAGGAAGGGCAGAAAAAACCCCTCTTCCTACTTGGCTGCAGGAGCAGAAACCATGGTGTCCACCATGGGACAATCTCTCTAAGAATAGATAGTCAAAAACTGGAAGTGCCCCACCCAATGAATGATGCAAATGATTTTCCTGTAATACTTGGGATAGCAGCTGTGTTTACCTACTGCCCTAAACAGGAGTGAGCTACTGTGCTTCTTATGGGCAGTGACACTGAGTGTACTTTTGCTTGTAAGCCAGGGAACATATGCTAAAACAAGAGTTCCTGAAGACAGCCAGGGTGTGTACAATTCCCTCGAATGAGGAACTGACAAGAGCTCATCTTCACTCAAGGAAAATGAGTCAGGCAGGATGCCAGAATCATTTCTGCTTTGTCTTTTCTAGGAACCATGTTCAGCTCTGGAGTCTCATTTATTTTTTTCTCTATTTAAGAGAAGCCAGGAATAAAGAATTGATAGTAATACCTGCATCAGGGCCTGGGTCCTTTCTGTGAATCTCATGAAGTCAGAGGCTGGCTGCCTAGGGTTCTCCTCCCTACCCATCCCCAACCCTACCTGCAACTATCTCAGCTGTGTCTTCATATCTCACTTTGATGTCATGTTCAGAGACACCTTTCTTCCTGATTATGCCAGTCCTTATTTTACTTCTTCAGAGTCTGTGTGCTTATTTTCTTATGGACCTTGCCATAGATGCAATCTTCTGTTTATTCATTTAATTGTTGGTCAATGACCATTTCTCTGACTATAGTCTCATGAAGGGAGGGTTTGTCTTGCTATCAAGCACCATTTAATCCCCAGCACCTAGGATGGTGCCTGGCAATTAGAAGGAGTTTATTGAGTATTTGTTGGAAGAATGAAGACAAAAACATTTGAAAGGACTTAACACAATAGCATTGTGCGATTAAGTGTTTAAAACGTTAATACATTTAGATGACTGCTCTCTGAGAAATGTCAAAATCTCTTTATTCGTTATATAAAATAGAGATGACTTCTTTGAGTGGATTTTATTTCACTTCTAAGAAAAAAATGTGGTCTTTATATTGACCGTTGGCAATCTTCTGCACACAAGCTAGAGTGAGCACTGTCTGGGTCAGAGTTGTCAATTCAGCATGCAAGCTTGTTATTGAATGACATGGAAGCCCCCAGTACTTACAAAATCCAAAATGTGCTGGGAAATAGACAGACCAAATTTAAGTAAATTACTTTTGTCATACAAATCCAAAACACTGGAAAAATTCTGCCTATCATTTGCTATCATTTATTGAGCACATTATATGCAAGACCCTGTGCCAAATATTTTTTATCCATATTACTTCATTTTATTCCCAAACAAACCTAGGAGGTAAGTTTCATTTCTCCCTTTTTAAAGATAAGAATGTTAAGTAAAGTTCGAAGAAGCTCAGGAATGTGAAAGAACTGGATAAATGAGACAGTGTACGAAAGTAGTAGAGGCTGGACTAGGATATCTCTACGTCAGAAACATATTATAACTGCTGCATTACACCTGGCTAAGGGTCATGCAGACATGCCTTAAGGAATGTGGTAGTTTCTGCTTTATTGTTGCTGTGATGAAGCAAAATATCCTGGTTGTCATGATAAAATCCCCATGGGCGAATTGTTATATTTACTAAAGCTTCATTATTTTCAGCGTGCAATGTGAAGACTTTGACATACCATTGTTTGGGGGAATTCACCAGGTTTTAGTAGAAATTCCAGTAATGTGACTCTAGTAACTATTTCATATAGAAGTTTCTATTTTCCTGCCTATTTCCGCAATGATGGAAATATTTTATCTCTTCACTGCCCAGTAAGGTGGCTACTGGACAATTTTGGCTAGTGAACATTTGAAATGTGGTTAGAGTGTTTAAGGTATAGCATTTTAATTTTAATTAATTGCAACTTTAATTTAAAAATCTGCATGTTGTTAAGTGGCACCCATCTAGGAGAGGGTAGATTTGGAGTGTCACTATGAGGTCATGATAGTGTGCATTATGATATAGAAAGGGGAAAGAAAAAAATAACAATTCTTGAAAGGTGAAAATAATTTTTTAAACACAGAGTGAGCTGAATATTTCCAATAGTTTCTTGGTATAGCAAAATGGAGTAGAAAATGAAAGATCATTAGACCTAGAAGCAGGTGGAGAATCCTTGGTCCAATTACAGATAAAAAATCTTTTGAGTAATCTACACAGCCTATTGTTGCTGTTTTATCAGGATATACTTTAACAAGAGGCAATGACACCAAAAATGCTTTAAGTACACTAAAGGATTATACAATTATTTGGATTTTTAAAAATGAAACTGAAACCGGTTTGGTTCAGTGGATAGAGAGTCAGTCTGAGGACTGAGAAGTCCCAGGTTTGATTCCGGTCAAGGGCATGTACATTGGTTGCAGGCACATCCCAGGTAGGGGGTGTGCAGGAGGCAGCTGGTCGATGTTCCTCTCTCATCGATGTTTCTAGCTCTCTATTCCTCTCCCTTCATCTCTGTGGAAAATCAATAAATATATATATATATTTTTAAAAATGAAGACAAATTGGTATATCTTACTAATAACAAGTGCATTTCACTTCTATATAGGCAATGGGAAGGATTATGGGAAAGACTACAAGCTTATTTTTCACTTACAAAGAAAACCCAGGCTGGACCTCCAAATCAAAGAGGTGGATGAATTTGGCAACTACAGCTGCTCACATTATAAGGGCACTGTTGTAGTTTACAAACTACCTAAACAAAAGACAGCCCACAACTTGGACCAATCTCTTATACTTAATGAAAACCATTATCAGTTGCCAGTGTGCAAATTACCATTGAGACTACCAAAGGTGAGTTCTTTTACTTCTCTAATTACCATATTTTATTAATTCTTGGTGGTAATGTCTACCACAATCAAAACTTCTGCACACAGATACTCAAAGTTAAAAGGAAAAGTAATAATAAAGTTGATAAAGAAGAAGAGGATAGCAACAATTTTAGTTTAGAATACATATCAGCATTTCTACTTTCATATAAACTTTCTAACAGGGACAATTCAAGTTGGGTTGATTCAGACAATATGTAGTTAATGACTATGGAAATAATGTCATTCATTTTCTGTAACTGCATTTGAGTGACTGGGAGATCATTATGAAACCATTTGTTATATTTTGGAGCACAACCATTTGAGGAAAAATCATGTGGTGAGCATGACCCCTAATGACATCAAAATATTTTCACCAAGATTTACCAATCCTGCCTTTTATTACATAGGATTCTTACTTTTATCAGTAAAGTAAGATTGAGTTATTTCTCCAAATGTATCAAACAACAAAAAATTTATTATGACACATACTATTTATTTTAGTGATCCATGACTTAGTACTTCTAAACAATATTATTAATGAGAAAATAACTGAAAAAAGTTGCTTTATCAAGAGGGAGAACAAACTTATTCTTTAAAGATGTCAACATTATTTTTTCATGTTTTTTCTTCTTTTTTGTGTTAGGACTAGCAGGAATATATTTTCCATTGGGTTAGATTTTGTAATGATTTTAAATAAATCAGTAAAATAACTAATTACTTTGACAAATATTCATGGAACTTTGGAAATAGGGAACGTGCCATACTAGTCAGAATGACAAATGCAGAGCTATGGAAGGTACTTCATGCCTTAAAAGCTGCCTTGTCCTGAGTGGTAGGCACTATCCACATATGCCTACGGAGCACTTGAAATATGGCTCATCCACATTGAGATGTGCTGTACGTGTGAAATCCATACTGGATTTCAAAGACTCAGTATAAAGAAATGTCAAATATTTCACTAATAATTTGTTTATGGTAATTGCATAATACTATAATACTTTGGGTATGAGATTAAGTAAAATATATTATTAAAATTACTCTCATCTGTTTTTTTTAAAAATGTATGTGACTAAAATAAAATAAATAAAATTATTTATGTGTCTCAAGCTATATTTCTAGGGTCAGCATTGCTGTAAGTGATTTACAATCTAGCAGAGTATGCAAAACAAGTGTACAAATCACCTTGGAAGGACGTAACAGATTAAGCTAATGGTATAAATGACAGTAATACAGTTGCCCAGAAGCAGAAAATAGCTGGAAGCTGAAATCAGAAGTTTCATGGTGGTTGTGGCATTTTATCTGAACCATGTAAGTTCGTAGAAATTTAGCCTTCGGAAATGAAGAACAAAGTATACTGGGATAAGGAAGTGGAATGAATTTGAGTAGGGATGGTAGGCATGGTTTAGCAGGAATTCATAAGCCAAATAATAACAATCATAATATTATAAATGAGTTAAAAGTCTTCCAAGAGCTTTAAAACACAATTAAATTCTCACAAAATATCCTAGGAGCCATTATCCCTGTTCTTATTTGATAGGAAACTGAGGCATTGAAATGTTAGGTAACTTGCCCAAGGTCCCATAGCTAGGTAAGTGTCAGAGCTGGGATGCTAACCCAGAAAACTGTATGCTGATGCCTCGTTGGCAGATAAAGCTAGGATTTTTAGAGATGGATTTTAGGATGGCCAGGTTCACCCTTGAAGTTGTATGACAATACCATGTATGCTATGTTTAGTGTGGAGGTGATATTAAAATTCCCTAACAAATTATATGACATGGGTTCTGCTTTTTTAAAATGAAAATAGCCACTTGAAGCAGAAGTGCAGCATCCATGGAGACATTAACACTTTACTTACTAGTTTTCAGGAGGTCCTGTGGTTCCTGGGAAGTATGTGTAGGGTGGCAGAATCTAATAAGCTACTGATACTGAAAAGTGTCTGTTAAGAACAGTATGGCTTTTTAAGTGTTCACTCACTCCCAGTTTCCCTCTGTTCACTTTCATTTCCACCCGGGACCTTCCCACTTGCCACTTCTCTGTTTGGGGCTGTCCTCTCTCAGTCACACTGCTGGTTAACACTTAGGTCTCAGCTCAGATATCACTTTTCTTATCCTGATGTCCCCATCCCCTTATCTAAAATCACTGTAAACCATTGCCTTTTTAACACTTGCCCCTAATTGAAATTAATAGATTTATTTGTGTCCATTTATTTTCTATTTGCTTTTGCTCCTTGAGAAAGCTTCATGGGTGAAAGTTTTGCCTACTCCTAAAAGTTTAGGAACTTGACTTGCAAGGGTGGGGGACCTTTTTTTCTGCCAAGAGCCATTTGGGTATTTAGAACATCATCCGCAGGCCATACAAAATTATCAACTTAAAAAAAATAGCCTGATCTATTTGGTCAAACATTTAACTAACTCATGCCTCATGCCCTGGCAGGGCCAGACCAAATGATCTTGCAGGCCTTATAGGAACATTCCCCACCCCTGGGTCTTAAAGGATCTTGAACTGCCTTAGATCAGTGGTTTAAAGTCTGACTGTACAAATGCTTATCCCACAGGCTCAGGCATTGATTTGGATCAGCACAAAGAGCTGAGAACAGAGGAATGACACATCAGGGCGTCTCCCAATAACTCGATTTAGCACATTACTTCCTAAGATCACTATGTGGCTCTGATGCTACCCCTATCAATTCCCCTGACTCTTCCTTTTCCCTTTGTTTCACTTTCCTTGAGGGCAGGCCCCTGTATGTGTTTTGTTCTCTGTAAATCACAAATACCTGGAATAGTGCCTGGCATATGCTAGGTGTTCAAAACATGCTTGTTGAATGAATTCATAGAAAGAACTTGCATTTTAATACCCAAGTGGGAAGGGGAACGTGGGGCGTGTCAAGTAGGAAAATAAATTAGCATCAGGTGTTGACAGAATTGCAGTGATTATTTCAAATGGGGGCCACTGAAGGCTTCATTGTGGAGGGGTCTTCTGTGCTGAGAAGCAATAGTGAAAGAAGCACAACAGCCTGTGTGGCCAGGAGAGCACAGCAGTGAGGAGAGCAGCAAGTACCAGATGGCACTAGGTGTGAGCTTTTAGTCAAGGCTAGAAGACCATCAGGGCAAATAAATGCACATGTGATGGGCAGAGAACGGTGATGAGGTATGAGAGAAAAAGAGGGTCTTGGTGACAGTTCACATTTCAGTAAGATCTGAAAATGGTCTCCAAATCAATACATGTGAAGATGTATGGCTACGAAGAACAAAGATTTTCTCTAAATCTTCCCAAAGATTTGTCTCGCTAACTTCCTCCGGTCACAAAATACTTGAGTAATCTCAGTTCACACTGTGTCTATGTGTGCTTTGGCAGAAACAAATTTCAAAACTGTCCATAATTACTTTTGGGTAGAAGGAAGTAGAGTGTGAGTTTCTGAAATAATTTCACACAGGGGCCTGTCTGTGCCATCTGGTCAATGGTGCTTGAGTTGTGACTGTCCTTTACTCTCCCTGACCAGGAGGCTTAGCTTTGACGGAGAACAGGGCTCCAGGCCTGGGGGCTGTTTCTGCCGAAGCCTGTGGGAGGCTGCAGACAGAGGTCACCTACACATTTCCGAAAGCCTTCTGCTGACGGAGTTTTGCTTGGCCTGAACTTCCTTTTTTTAAAAACTGAACTCATGACATGTGATTTCTAGTAAATAATGATACTGCCTCAACACTTACTTTCTCACCTCATTAAAGAACTCTCTCTGTCAGAGGGAGGAAGCTTGCAGAGGCTGGTGCAACATTCATTTCATCAGAACCACCACTGCCTCACCACTTGGCATGGTTGGCAGCCAAGTGGTGAGGCAGTGGTGGGCATGCCCTGCTGGTCATGATTTTTCTTTTGTATAATATTTTGGTAAATACATGAAATATCAAAGAACAATCTTGACTAAATAAATGAGGAGATTCTAAGCTATTGAAATTTTTATATTCATAGGCTTTCAATTCTACTTAGGGTACTTAGTTGTACTAATTTATAAAATTATCTTAAGGTTCAAGAATGAAATGAAGAAAGCAGATTAGAAAAAGCATATCTCTCTTTATAACAGCCTAAGGGATCTTCTGACCATTCTCCTGTTCACCCGTTGGACCATTTACCCAGTAGCTATGATATGCAATGACCATAGGGGGCAGATGCTCTAACCAGTAGAGGAGGGAGCCAATTCCTTGCAGAACCGACCATGGGTTAGGTTGCTGCTGGGGCACTGTCACCCCCAAATTTGTTTCACCTGCACCCTGGACCCAGAAATCGGTTTTGACCCCCACAGGCCAGACTGAGGGACCCCACTGGTGCATGTATGGAGGGGGAATAGTGGACTACTAGTAAATAGTGATTTTAAAGTTTTCTGTAACTTAGTTTCATGCTTTCTACACTAGACTTAATTCCAATAACATATTCTATGTTGCTTCATGCTCCACCCTCTACCAACAGTAGATGGGAGTCACAAGACTCTTAAGAGAGAGCATGTCAATATTTTTTTAACCTATGAAAGTTTTTAAAAACCTTATCATCCTTTTCTGTGTTTCAGTTTGGCCCTCCTTGTTCTCCCTTGATAACCTCCAGACCAGGAGTCTAACCTTTCTCTAAGTCATCAGAAAGACCTTGAAAGACCCAATGTTGACTAAGTCATTGAAAATTGACTTTATATTGTATATGTGACATGTGAAAATGAGCAAAATTGGGTTGTTCAGAAATAAGACCCTCGCTGTTTTTTAGAAAGTGTTTTACCACCAATATAATCAGAAGAGCATCTTTCTCTTCTTCTCCCTCCTTCCTTTTTATCTTCTCATTCCAATTTTTTTCCCTCTCCCCTCTCCTCCTACAAATTCCCCTGATTCTTCCTTTGCCCCTTGTCTCACCCCTCTTCCTTCTCTGTCCCTTATTGTTCCTCTTTTTCTTTCTTCCTCCTTCATCCTCTGTCCATGAAGGGGAAGGTTTGCTCTGCTGAGCAAACAG